CGACTTGATATTGCTTGGAACTGATCCCCCAAAATATTAGCCCCGTCCATTGCTTGTTTTACAACCAAGCTAAGAACTTCTTTAGGAATGGACTCCTTGGAATTTACAATTGTATTTGTAATTACGGCCAGTGACGATAATCCAAGTGTAAGAGATTGTTGGATCTGTTGCTGGTTAATATCGAGGATCTTTGCCTGGGATGGAAGCAGTCGCCAAATTTCTGAATTCACTTTTGGCACAAGAAATTCTTTGCAATTCTCGGGTACTTTGATTTTGGCTGCTAAAGTCGCCTTAGATTCTTTTGTTAAAGGTCTTGCTGCTGTCTTAGCGAATCCTGAACTGACATTTGGTAACAAACTTGGACCGAATTCGGTAGTATTTTCAATATCCTTCAAGAGATCGGTTAACTCGTCATTTAACTCTGGAATGAATAATTATTATTCTCATATCTTGCTCATTGCGAGAGAATTATTAGTAAGGAACAATAAATTTGTAATACGACTCTACCATCTCCGTTTCCAATTATTTTATTTGCCTCAGCATCAGTATCATTCTCGTCGTCCGATAACCCCAGAGACCAATCTCTTTGCTGCTCAGAACCACCAGCCATTTCCTTTTAAATAAAACGAGCATTAATATTAATTGAATTATTAGAGTTTAATTAAAGTGGGCCTATCAAGGTCACCACAGCCATTTTCCTCGTCGAGGATCTCTTGGCTTTATATTTTTATCACAAATTTAATGAAAACGTGAAATTTTATTTCTTTTTTTAAAATTTTTTTTCGTAATTTAAATATTCAAGTTAAAACCTGTCATAAACTCGTGCTCCTCCAACCCAGTCCCCAGAAAAAACTTTACAAGTTACTTTACCTCAAGTTACTTTACCTTGATTGTCGAGCTCCAAAGAAGACAAAAACACTTATCACAATTAAAATTTTAACTATTTTCCAAACGAATTTCGGGCAGGATAGTATTGTACGTGTGAATCCCCGTGTGCCTAAATCAACTATGAGGCGCACATTGGTGGTGGTGGTGCATGCATGGCATCAGTTTTATTCTGCGGCAGCTTTAAAAAGGCATAAATATCGTGTTTCCCCAGTCTCTGGCTCAACAACTACGAACTATTCATTGTGATGTCGAAGGTGTAGGAGATGAAATAAAATTTCTTCAAAGATCAATTTCTTATCTACATTTTTTATTTAAAAATCAGTTTGAAATCAGGAAATGTAAATTTCTAGTTATTTATTTACACCCGAAATAATCTAAAAGTATAGAAAATCTTAGTTATCTGTATGTTTTTGTGGAAAAAATAGAGCAGTTCTTAATTGGCAAAGACAATTTTAAAGGTATATTGATGCTTAAAAAAAATAATATCTAATTGGATTTTTTTGAAAATGTCGAAGTGTTTAGGAAATTAAGTTTTTGCAAAGTTTGAAGTTGGAAAGAAATATTTATAAAATTTAATGGTCAATAACATTTTGGATAAAGGTTGTACAATCAAAGAAAAGATGTAACTTCATAATTTTTAGGAATTATAAAATTATAAAATCTAAATTTTGTTTTTTTATAATGATTTTTAAAAACCGAGAAATTTATGGATATCTATCCATACTTGAATTTGAAATCAACAAAAATGCAAATTTCAAAATTTTCATAACCTATAAGGGTAGCAAATCTTTCAATATTTGTAGAAAAAATAGAACCATTTTTAATTTAGAAAAGTAATTTTAAAGGTGCATTATGCTTTTCAAGAAATAATATCCAAGTGGAAATTTTGAATTAAAATAAGTTTTTGGGGAGGATATTTATGAAATTAAGATTTTGTAAACTTTAGCGTCGAATAGAAATATTTGGTAAATTGTACATTAATAATTGCTTTATAGATAGTTTTCAGTCCAACAAAAAATTTCCATTGCTTTTTATAACTTCGTAAATTGAAATGTGTAATGATTTACAAAAATGTGGAAATTTATTAATATACACTAAGCTGAGCCATATGAAAATAAATGCAAATTGTAGGTTTTTTAATGCTCCAGTGTTACTCTACGAGAAAATCTTTATCTGTGAATGTAAATTAAAAACGGAAATTTTAATAATGTTTAGGGGATTTTTTTAATTAATGGAATTGAAGGGTTTTGGAGAAATATTTATTGATATGTACGAAAGAAAGATTTTGCAAAGCGCATTCACGTAATTACATGAAGATGGAAATTTTACTAATTTTTTGAGTAATTTTTAATCAATATGAAATAATTTTTTTAAAAGTCGGTTAGAAAGATTTGCTAAATTTTGAATTAATAAATACTTCATAGGTAATTTACTGTATCAAAATTTCTATTGCTTTTCATAATTTCGTAAATTGGAATTTGTAATGATTTTCGGAAACTTATTGAAACCCATCAAATTTTGGTAATGGAAATTTTAGTGATTTTTGGGAGCATTTTTAATTGATGGAATTGATGGAATTGAAGGGTTTTTGAGAAATATTGAAATTTATGAAAGAGAGTTTTTGCGTAAAACTTTTGCGTCCAATAGAAATAATTTGACTATTTGACATTATTAATTATTAATTACATAAAAGATTATTCGACGGCTAACTTTCGTTTTTCATAATTTCGTAAATCGAAATTTTTAGTTTTTAGTTTATTCTCTTTTTTTTATTAAAACGAAAATGTTACTAATTTGTTTCTGTAATTTTTAATCAATATGGAATTAAGTGTTTCAAAGGCTTGATTAAGATCGTGTATAAATATTTACAAAATTTAAATTTTAAATTACTTTCAAGATTATCGAACCCTATAAGTTTAATCGCTTTTCAATTTCAGAAATTGAAATTTAAATTAGTAATGATTTTTGAAAAATGAGGGATAAATCAGCAAAAGTATAATAATAAATTAAAAATGAAAAGATTTATGTTTTTGTGTCCGAGATAATCTGAAATTGTTTGTTCATTTCACTTAGGAACTTTCATTAATTCCATGACAATTGAAATTTTGCTAACTATTGTGAAGAAATGTAAGTAGAAAATTTATCTTTATGAAATTCACTTTTTGCGAAGTTAGGCGTCGGATAGTAATATTTGCAAAATTTTAAATTTTAGTTGATTTAAAGATCATTGACTCGAACAGATTTATTTAATTGCTCTTCATTATTTCGTAAATTGAAATTTGTCGTGATTTTTATAAAAAAATTTCTTCGTATCCATTAAAGTCTAATGGTTGAAATGGAGAAAAGTATGAAAATAAATGCAAATTGCTGGAATTTAATAGTCAGGATGCTCTACTTATTCGAGAAATTTTTTTTATGTGTGTATGTAAATTAAAAATTTAAATTTTTTTGTTAGTTTACTTTTATTTAACTAATTGACCTTTGGAGAAATATTTATGTTCATGAAATGAAAATGGTACTAATTACGAGTTCGAATGTTCGCATCGCAACTTTTTGCAAATTTGATAATTTTGCGAAGCAAGGAAGTGAAGACACTTCGCAAATGATATTTCGTAGAATTCGATAACTAATGAAGATTTATAAACTTTTGGTTGCAAAATTTTCCATGTCTGTGAAGAATATTTTTCGAACTAAACATGTACTAGCTGTGGAGCTGCGCAAATTCGCAAATCAATTTTCAAGCCCAATTTTTTGAAATTTTTATTTGAATTGATGAGTTTTTTGACAAACTTTGATTTTTGATTTTGAAAGTTGTAATGCTTTAAATAAAATGTATTGATAAATAAATGCAAATTATAAGATTTTCCTTCCCGGTGCGTGTTTATTATACATCATTTCGCTTATCGTTAATTACATAAAAATTGAAATTTTAAAAATATATAAATGTATTTTAATTGATCGATTGGAAGAGTTTTCGAAAATTGATGATATTTACGAAACTCTTAGTCTAAGCGAAAGTTTGACATCGGATGGAAATATTTGTATTATTTTAAATTAGTGATTACTTAAAAGATTGATAACTCTAATTGTTTTTTATAACTTCGTAAATTGCAATGTTTATAAAGTATTTCTTTAATGAGGAAATTTATTATTTTCCATTGAACTATAGATACGCATACACTCTTAGGCAACTGGTATTGAATTATTGCAAATTATTACCGGATATGACTCTACCGGCATCGGTAATATCGATCGTTCCGGCGCAGTAATGTGGTGGTAATGAAATCGTTACCGCTCAGAATCAAACTATAACCAACCCGGTAGGAAATTATTACCAAATCGATACCAGTACGGAGTACATATGTGACTCTACCGGATGCTTTACAGTGTACCTGTTCACTTTCATTCATGTTACTGATTATGATGAATGATGAATTTTCTGTGATTTGAATGCAAATGAGTGAAAGACTCCGTCATTTCAGATGAATGACAGCGAATGAAAGGATTTCTCACTCATTTCATTTTTCATTATATGCTTAAAACATGGGACGATGTAATAAATAAAGTCAGATGAAGTGAAATGAAAGGAATTTGATAGAAAGTGATTGAATTTGAATGAAAATTTGCACATAATTTCATACTACGTATCTCCATAGGGAGCGTCCATAAATCACGTGATCGATTTTGAGGCAATTTTGACCCCCTCCCCCCCTTGGTGACCAATGATGATAAATTAAGTACCCCCCCCCCCTGCGGTCACGTGACAGTCAGACAAATTGCACAAAGCAAACTATGTGTGTTGAACATACTATGTTCCCTACAAACTATGTTCTTGGGTAGATTAATAATATTATTCCGGGGTCTTTCTAAATCTGCAATTAAATTAAATTTCAAGATATGTAAAAAAATTACTTACTAATATATGTATAGTAAAAACTGTAATTTGGCATGCTTAGCGTCTGGAGAACAAGCGTATGTATTACCGTACTTATTGTCAAACATAATGATATACTGATCAGTTTGTACACCAAATATGTCAGATATTTAAATATGCAGATAAGTGTTTTTAATAGAAATCGTTATTCAATGTCCGACATCACAGTAAACCCGGTGTGCCACAAAGGCTCTTGAAACAGTTGGCAAGTAGTCGCCACCGGCGGCAAAGAGTCGCAGATTTTGCCGACATCCAGCCGAGTACTTGCCACCGCTTTCCCGCCGCCATTTTCACTCGGCAAACCAGTGTATTTGCCGGACTTAATCTGTCTACTTGCCGTCGACGGCCCATCCCAGGCCATAGCAAGCTTTAAATGGTATTTAAGATTTTGCTTCTGGCCACATTCTTGCCAACTACGGCCCGACTCGAATGAGATACCAAAATTCCCCAACTCTTACTTAAAGTAGAGGAAACTTAAAAACCTCCACACCGTCAACATTCTGTCCATCAAATCAGTATTTTGTCTTTATTCCATTAAACGTACTTTGTCATGATTAAATTTGCAGTAGTTATATTTCCCGACGAAGATAACGCCATTGACGTTATATCGTCATCTTGGATTCTTCCGCCACTTATTGCAAATGGGGGGACCCAAGTGAAGAACTGCAGATATCCACCATCAAAAGTTCGAGGTGCAAAACTAGCCAAACTTGTTTGCAATCATCAACCCCCATCTTCGGATTGGTTGGTCTGTTCTTGTCGAGTTTTGAAAGAGTATGGTAAGCAGTTTGTTGCAAAAAAGTATATGGCAAAACTAATTACTTGCTGTTATCTATGTTATTTTCTAGACAATTATTTGACCGCCCGTGAAGCATCAATTAGGGCGGAAGAAACTTCCAACTTGGAGCCATCTTCCGTTGAGGAGGCAGATTCTAGGCGAATCCGAAAACGCATACAAAACAAAGTAAAGCCGCCACCGTGTAATTCCAATAGCAACAAGCTTCAAAAAATAATTGCTGTAGCCGAAGATTCTAGCGACGAATCCAACACGTTGGAGGACGACAACCCGACAACTTTTTGCCTTGGATTAGTTAGAGAAACAGGTAAACCGGAAGGGTGTAACCACTAGTTTACGTCGCCAGTTCATAGTTTATGTTAATTTAAATCATTTAATTAGTATTATAAATAATTAATAATTTAAGTTATGATATTTTTTTCTGTTTATATAATAGCCGATTTGGAAAGGGGCGGTTATGAAGGTGCAGCTAATGACAACACATTATTTGCACCACCTCATGGACAAATAGAAATATACCCAGGAGGAGGAGATCAAAACACTTCCGCAACCCACCAGGCAGAGGATGTCGAGTTTAAAAATCAGTTCGTACAGTTTCTAGAGGAAAATAGAAGTATGATAATATTCGTATGAATAAAATACGATTGTGTGTATTCTCCTTTCTATTATATTTATACTATGGAATTAACTAACTTTTTTATTAGAATTTCAAGATGCGGTGATTTCCAAGCTAGAAATAATTTCTAGTAAGTTGAAGCACATTAATCTTGGGACGACGTGTGCAAAAAATATTAAATTGACTGGAGCCCCGCTACTGCCTTTAACCAGCAAGGATGGTTTAGCTTCCCTCATAACCTGGCTTGGTATTGATAAAAATAGTGACCTAATGGTACCAGAGAATTTTAATGCGTACTTTATTTATTATGCGTACGCTGGGTATGACCTAATCTATTTATTAACGACAGATCGATTATCTAAGTCTACACGGAGGAGAAAATGTTTCTGCAGTAACCGGAAGCATTCTTTCTGAAATATTTACGAACCAGTTCGCAACAGTAGTTAGCTTTACTGGACAAGGACAAAAAGCGGTTTGTGGCATAAAGGACTCAATATTACCTAAATTAATCACAAGTACGTTAATAAAATTTATTCTCGAAACCATCTTATAATTAAAAATGATTAAGTGTTCTGCAACGATTTTCTAGAGTCGGTGCGGTCAAATAAAGGCTTTAGCCAAGCAACAGATTTCGAGGTGAAGCAGGCAATAATAAACTGGTTGAAGAACGCTGGTGACAGAGGTGGGGGTCGAGCAGCTCGTCGTCAACGTCATTTGACAGGATGAATACAGTCACCCCGAGAACGGAATTACGCCGCAGAAGAAAAGCAACATCACGTATATTGCAATTTATTAGAAGTAAGACGATAGGAAATACTGTGCCGACATTATTATTTAGTGAAGAAATTGTAGAGCCACCAGTGAATGTTCAAATAGTTGAAACTGAAATAAGTAGCGCTGAACCCTCAGATTTTGTATTAGACAACAGTCAAGTAAATGTTGAGTCAGATATCAATTTTCCTTTACTTTTGCCAGATAGTCTTCGTCTGTGGGCTACAGCACATAATGTTACACATATGTGTCTCCGAGAACTGATAACCATTATAAATCCACATATTAACAATATTCTTCCTCTCGATCCTAGAACATTAATGAAAACGCCACGACAGATAGTTATAGAAAAGCTAGGTGGAGGTGAACTAGTTTATTTCGGTATAAAAAAAGGTGTGGAAAGACGGCTAAAACTAAAATTATCGGATTGCAATTTTCCAATTATTAAAAAATGGCAGCATGAGTCTATTTCGAAAATTAATTCAATATCAGTTGGTATTGACGGGGTACCGATTTCTCAAAGTAATACTAAGTCGTTTTGGCCAATTCTTGGTATGCTGGACCAAGCTGTAGATTCAAGTCCATTTATTATTGGATTATTTTGCGGCATGTCAAAGCCAAAAGATACTTTATTTCTTAAACAATTTGTTGACGAAGCATTAGAATTAGAAAGGACTGGTATTTTATTTAAAGACTTACAATTTGCATTTAAAATATCTTGTATAATAGCTGATGCACCAGCTAGAAGTTTTATAAAAGGGTGCAAACAGCATAATAGCTACAACTCGTGTGAAAGATGCGAACAGGAAGGTGAATGGCTTGGAAGAGTAATTTTAAGAGAGACAGTATGTCCACAGAGAACGGATGATAAATTTATTAAAAAAACGGATGCAGATCATCACACATACGACAGTGAATTGCTGAGATTAAATTTAGGCCTGGTGTCACAAATAGTACTTGACCATATGCATTTAGTTTTTCTAGGAGTAACTAAAAAATTATTGAACATTTGGGTGAAAGGTAAATTGCCGCACCGACTTAGTTCACAACAAGTTTTAATTTTATCTAGAAATTTAATTCGACTTAGACCTTTTGTATCCCGTGATTTTCAACGCAAACCTCGTGGGCTCGACGAACTAAATCATTTCAAGGCCACTGAATTTAGACTTTTTTTGCTGTACTCTGGAATAGCAGTATTAGGCGAGACACTTCCACTAAATAAGTTTAAAAATTTTCTAAAATTACAAGCAGCGATGTCAATATTATTATCTCCTAATGCAAGTATAAAATCGTGGAATGATGTAGCCAGGTCGTTGCTCATACAATTCGTAAAAGAAGTTGAATTAATTTACGGTCCAGAATTTATGATATATAATGTGCATTCAATTATACACATTTGTGATGATGCATTGAATTTTGGTAATTTGTCCAGGGTCAGCGCATTTCCTTTCGAAAGCTATATGCAGAAACTAAAAAGCATGCTGCATGCTAAAAATTATCACCTGAATCAAGTAGCGAAACGCTTACAAGAAATTGAGGCAATTGATTTTGCGACAAAAATTATGAAATCTAGTACGCAACAGTTTTCTAATAGTAAATATGATAATTGTTTCTACTTAGGAGATGGTACTTATGTAATATTAAAATATATTAACCTATCCATAAAATATGCAGAGTTTTACGAGGTTATAAAACTTGATAAATTTCCGGAATATCCATTCAATAGCTTAACCGTAAATATATTTCTAGCTAAAATTACGACTAATGTGAGGATTGTTAATTACAGTGAAGTTATGTATAAATGTTTACTTTTACCTTATAAAAATATGTACTTGTGTTTACCACTTCTTCATACTTTAAAATAAATAACAAATGAAAAAGTAAATAATATGTGCAATTACTGGTGGCATTTGGATGGGTATAAGCATTTCCGCAGGTCTGAGCCATGGTCTTGCCACCGGTGGCAAGCCGGTATCAAGTTGGCGTGCCAACTGGAATACGAAGTTGGCCCGTACGCGATCGCCACCGCCAAGCCACCTATGGCCATTCGGACATTTCCTGCAGTTTGCCGACCCATTTTGGCCGCAGCTGCGCCTACTGCGGCCCTGCTAGTTTGGCAAATCGGGAAGATATTATTACGGAATTATAGAGGTAAAATTTTATTTGGCAAATCCGACCTAGAATATGAAGTAAAACACAGGCCAGCTTACTGTACTTCAAAAATTTAAAAATACGTCACACAACGTATTTTAGGTGAAAGATATTGGGCTAAGCAAATCTTATCAAACTTATTTAATTTGCGTTATATACAAAATATAAATATCTTGGCACGTTTTAGTACCAAAAGTAAAAAATCTTTGCTTATTATGTCACGCGTGTCACGTGCCTTCTGCCATTACCCCCCCCCCCTATGGTGATAATTGGTGACAAATTTCAGACCCCTCCCCCCCTTGAGTCGATCACGTGATTTATGGACGCTCCCATACCTGTTCAAAAAACTTTTTCATTCAAACTTCAGTCATTACCTAATTACATGAAAATTTAAATTAGTACTTTATATTTACTCGAATGGAATTCTTATAATTAGAAAATTGATATTTATTAAATTCAAAGTTTGACTTCGGAGAGAAATATTTTTAAAATTTTATATCTGTAATTAGTTTAAAGATCGTTGGAACTTTTAGCGGAAGGAAGGAAGTCAAATCATACATAAGGAACTTTTAGTGTTTTTCATAATTTGTAAATTGAAATTTTGAATCATTTTGAAAATACGGGGGAAATAAAATTCATGGATAAGCACAATATGAAAATAACTGCAAATTACAAGATTTTCTTACGCAAATTTATTGATATCCGTACTTAAATTTGTAATCAGAAATTGCAAATTTCTAGATTTTCATACCCGAGATAATTTAAAAGTGTATTATTCCAGTGAATTTGGGGACAGTTTACTACTATTTTCGAGCAATTTTAATTTTATTATTTTTTAAATAATTGAAATGAAGAGTTTGGCCTAAATACTGATGTTTATGAAATTATGTTTTGGTAAAATGGGTTTGGCGTCGAATAGAAAAATTGTATTATTCGAAATGAGTAACTAATTTTAAGATGGGTGTGTTCCAAAGTTTTCAGTTAAAGATTATCATATCCTAATTGTTTTTCGTGATTTCGTAAATTGAAATTTGTAATGATTTTGTTAAATGGGGAAATTGCTAATTGCAAAATTTTTACACCCGCGACAATCTAAAATTTGAGAAGATCTCTGCCATCTTTGTTATGTATGAGTCTTAAAAAATGGAATAGTTTATAATTGATAAAAGCAAGTTTAAATGTGTGTAGATACTCTTTTTTTAATTCGATTTCAGTGGAGATTTTTGATCCAATAATCGAAGAAAAGAGAAATATTGCTAATTTTTATGAAATTAAATTTATGCGAAAATTATGCAGCTTGGCGTCAGATAGAAATATTTGTATTATTTTAAATTAGTTATTACTTTAAGGATTACACAATTCTTGTGGAGTTTCTTGGTTTAGTTACTTGAAACTTCTAATTTCAAATTTGTAATGATTTTCAAAAAATGGAAAAATTCTAGCAAGTTTAATTGCTTTTCATAATTGCTGAAATTTAATTTTCGAAATTTGCAGTTTTTCGATGATAGTTTTTCGATATTTCGTTTTTTACACTTCGCTAAGTTACCCGAGATGCTGCATTTAGAATTAATTAGGGATAATCTTTGTTATCTGAAAATGCAAATTAAAAAGGAGAATTTTACTAATTTTTCGGAGTAACTTTATTTATTTTTTAAATAATCAAATTCAATAGTTTTAGGGAAATATTAATATTTATGAAATAAAGTTTTTGTAAATTGTTTTAGTAAAAGGTTAGCGTCGAAGAGATATATGTGTAAAGTTATGAATAGAAAAAATTTTAAAGATTGAAAAGAATGAATTATTTTTCGTAATCTCGTGAATTAAAATTTGTAATGACTTTTACAAAATGGGAAAATTTCTTAACAATCATCGAATTAGAGATGCGTACGACAATAAATTCAAATTTCAAGATTTTTGAACACGAGATAATTTATAATTAGTAAAACAAAATCTCATGGAAAAATAGAACAGTTTTTAATTAACAAAAGCAATTTGTCATTTGTAAAGATGCGGGTTTACACTTCATTTTATTTTGTAAAATTCCATTAAAATGGAAATTTTATGAAATTTTTTGAAGTAATTTGCAATCTCATACAAAATACGAGAGTTTTAGAAAATGCATATTAATGAAATAAAGCATTTCATGTGAAAGTTTAGCGTCGGTGAGTAATATTTACAAATTTTCAAATAAGTAATTAGGTTAAAGAGTATAAAACTCTTTCTTGGGCTGTTTAATTGAAATTTCACATTTCATATTTATATTGAAAAAAATGGGGGAAAATGGTCAAAATCATTAATCGTTTTTGATAATTTCTTAAACTGGAATTTTTAATTATTTGAACCTTTTTCGCATAGAAATTGAACTTTCTCCATTGAAATGGAGAAACAAATTGATAGATAAGAAAAATATGAAAATCAGTGCAAATTATAAGATTTTCATACCAGGTGCCCGTTTTTTATAGTTCATTTCACGAAATTACATGAAAATGGAAATGTTACGGATTTGTTGAGTAACTTTTAATTGGACAGAAGAGTTTTAAAATTTAGAAAATTGATATTAGTGAAATTAAGTTGTTATGAAAATTTTCCGTCGGATAGAAATAATTAACAAATTTAATGAAGAATGATCTTTCCTGTAAAAATGCAACGTAATTGGATGAAAATGAGTGATACATATTTTATGGAGTATATTTTTGTAATTAATCGAATGGAAGTTTTACAAAATTGATATTTATGAAATTACGTTTTTGCGAATACAGAGTTTTAGAAAATTACTATTTTTAACATTAATTTCCGTTTTTGTACAACAGTTTTCCGTCGGTTAGAAATATTTGCAAAATTGTAAATTATAATTCACCTCGAAGATTATTGAGTCCACTCGATTCGATTGTTTTTCATGATTTCGTAAAGTAATATTTGTAATAATTTTTATAAAAAAATGTGGAAATTTATTGATATCCATTTAAGTTCAATGATTGATGAGTATGAAAATAAATGCAAATTGGCTTATTTGCATACTAGAGATGCTTTACGTACAATTCTAGAACATCTTTGTTATCTGTGTATGGATTCGTTTTACGTGAAAATGGGAATTTTACTAATCTTTTGGACTAATCGAATAGAATCGTGTCAGAAAATTGAAAATTAGGAAGGAAATTTACTTATGAAAATTTAATTATGAAGTTAAGTTTTTTCAAGTTTTTAGCGTCGTATAGAAAAATATGCAAAATTTAAAATTAGTAATTAATTTAAAGATTATCAATTAATTCGTAAATTGAAATTTGAAATGGTTTTCAAGAAATGGGGAAAATGAAATT